GCAACAAAATGACCTGCTAGTCAAACCAAACGCCTTATAAGGTGTTAAGTGATTATGTGTTCAGTTTCATGGGCTGACATAGTAACGCAGCAGTGATTAAAAAACACTGGAGCTGTGGAGACGTTATTAAAACCATTAAGGATCCTGTCGTCTGCATGGACGTGGAGCCAGTCCAGCGGCCGGCGACAAAAATATGTTTCAGGCCACAAAATGTTCAAGGGCCTCTCAGAAGTCTCTTTACGGGCTGCAAGCGGCTCCTGGACGGGCCTTTTGAGTGCCACTGATCCTCAGCGGCAGACCTTCTCAGCCAGTAATTAACTGCAGGAATTGGCTCCTCTCTCGCGTGATGGCAGCAGAAACAAATCTCCTCTTGAAGGATGTGACGTGACCTTACCTGCAGAGGATGGAGGGCGGCCCTCGACTTGGCGTAACCCCGTGCAGGCCAGCGCGGAGCGAGACCGCTTACCGGGAACACGCATGTGAAATAGGGGTCATCACACTCATCTGTGTGTGTGTGTGGGGGGGGGGGGGCCTGGATACGGTCCCTGTCTCTCGCCCACGTGTGACGCACACAAAGAAACATGTCCCTTTGGAGGCCCAATCACTCACGTGGAGCGCGTCTCCTATGAAGGTATCCATCATTTACGTGCCTTCGGTCCTCCATCCCCTGTTGTTTCGTATTCAGTGGTCACACAAGAAGGTCCTTGGAGTTTACCTGCCTTTAACTGCAGATATCCTTGTCCTCGGTGCTTTCTTGGAGCGCATGCAGGCGGTTGTCTGGGCAGGACGAGAGCGAGGGGGGGGATGCAGGTGTCTGAACCTAAAGAGCCCCTTTGTGGTCGCACCTGCCGCACCAGTGTGAGAGGGCCATGTGAGGGTTGAAGCGCTGCTGCAAAGTTTGTTTTCTGCCCGCTCTGTGAATGTCATGAGTGTCATTTGGACCGCCAGTGCGACTATTTTTGGGCCGCCGACTTCAGTGGAGAACTCGTCGCCTTCGAGCTGTGATGTACGAGCAGGGAGTGGGCGGCTGTCCCGGTGTCGGAGAAACCTGACAAATGTCTGGCAGAGAGGAGAATCAACCCGCTCGAGCAACTGTATGGAACATTATCTGCCAAGGACAGTTTGCTTCTGCAGTTAGGTGGTGATGTACAGCGTTTCACCGCCCGGCTGTTTGTTCTGTCCTCGGGCGAGCTGGGAGCTCAACCTGATCCCAATTCCACGAGGTGAAGGGAAATAAAACATTCAAACCACTAAACAACAGCTTGGTCTCAGAAACACGAGGCATTCATTAATAATGGCGTTACACTGCTTTCTTTCCTGGATTTTATGTGATACATACCGTTTAACGGGAGAAAGACGCTGCAGGTCTTGTTCTCTAAGCGTTTAAGCGTTTAGCTTTGAGAAAATGTGTGTGCTTTTTGGACATTTGAAAATAGCATTTAGTTGGTCGGTTAAATTGTCCATCGATCATATCCCCACCGGCTACATACAATCATATTATGACGATAGCATATCCAAAAGATTCTACTGCGATTGAGGTTATTTTTGTGCTTTCAGTCCACCAAATTGGCATTAAATTATACTGCACGAAATGTGTGAGGGCGTTATCTACCTGGTGAGTGATTGATTTTGAATTGAAGTTTCGGTGAAAAGAGGCGGACCCACAGCGTGTCGACTCCAGATGCTCCGTCTGACTAAACAGTATGACAGGGCCCTAAATAAAAGAACGGAACTGCCGATGAATGAACAATCTGTGCGGTAATCACTTACAGTGAACCGACCAGTGCCGTGCTTTTGTATAAACCATTTAAGGAATCTTTTTTCTGAACCGAGCATGACAGGTATACAACGGTCTCAGATCCTGCTGTGTTTTCCTTCGATAACTTTCATTTCTGGCCCATGATGGTTTTGCTCTTATGTGACTCTGACTCGGGGCAAAGCCGCGTCGAGCTGCCACTCAGACCTTTACAGAGTGCAGCATTCGCATTGTGTGTTTGACAGACTACAGCGCTCCCCGTGCAGGACAATTCAGGAACTCGTCTTTTGAAACGCGGAGGACTTTTACTTACTAAAGCTAAGGCAACAGCAGCTCAGCCAAGCAGACGGCAGCGACGCGGGTGCAGGGAGCCGGGGAGGCGACAGCCGAGTCCCTCCGGCAGGACCCAGTGTTTGCCTCCGTGACCCAGAACTGCCTTCTGACAGAGTGCTCGCTCATTTCAATGCTAATGTGCCGTTGTGGGCATTTTCCAAGCGTTGCCGCTTACCTGAGAGGCGCCGGTTAATCCTGTGGATCCCCACACAGCTGCTAAGGTCATGGAGATGTTTGAATAAACTCTGCCTCCCTTATTATTCCGAGGGGGCGACTTGGGGCCTGTAACCAGGTGACAGCTTCGCTATTTCGCCCGTGTCCTGCATATCAGGATCGCACGGTGAACTAAGACAGGCATTCAGCTCCTCTTTGGATGGCTCAGTGACGTCACGGCGTCTTCATGGATCATGGTCGTGCCGTCTTTATGAATGGCTGGCGGCAGCTCGTCATCACCTGGAGGCTCTCAAGTCAAGGACACATTCAGAGCAGGTTTTGAATAGAGGACAGCAGAAACATAATGGATATGGTCTCCGTGTAAAAAACAATCTCAAACGTCCTCCAGCTGTTTACTTTCATAGACGTTAAGCTGTTGGAAAATGCACATTGCCGGGAACATGCACGCAACCGCCGAGGATAGTGCACTAAAACAATTTACCTGACATGCCTTCATGAAGTAAAAGCAGTCTTTGTCCACCAGGAAGGTCAAAAGGGTTCAATCGGTCCTCTCCCGCAGTCTTAGTTTGTGTTTTGGCAATCGAGGCGTTGACGTGGAGCCCGTCTTCCTTCACTCTGGAATGTATTTAGTGGCACTCGGGGGGACAGAAGCTGCCGCTTGCCCTCAACGTGCTGCAAAAGAACGTGATTAACTGCAGTATTCGCATTATTCATATACCTTTTCAGAGACATATTGATCTGTGTATTTGTTGACAAGTATTGTGGGACGACTTCATAGTGGGGAAATTCCCACGACGCCGCTCCGGCTCCTGCAGGCCTGTGAAAAGCAAACGGTGATGTTGCGGTGAAGGCTGCCTCTCCGTTTCCTTTTTTTATCCCGAAGGTGGGAAGACCCCCCCCCCCCCCCCCCCGCCCCCCCCGCCCTCCTACCTCATCTCTCCCCCAACGGCTTTCATATCGGCTGCCGGATCACGTTCGGAGAGCCCGGTCGGTTTAAATCACACTCTGCTTTCACTGCTTCCAGCGGCCATCGCTGCGGCCGAGCAAAAAAACGGGAGGGAGCGGAGGCGATGCGAATACCAAGTCCATGATTACACGTACTGACGACTGATCCTGGATCCTGCACTGATACTGTTACAGAGAGAAGGATCGAAGCAAGGTGGCCAAGGGCATAAATTCAGACTTTTTCCATCAACCCGAACTCTTGCAGTCTGTGCTTCTTAAATCCCTTTTGCCCCAGCAGACAGCCTCCTGCGGTGAACCGTTGTGCTCTTGGTGGTTTTGTAAATCTATGTTTAAATTAACTGATAACTGGAGATAACTGTTGTCCTGTGTTTGCAGGCTTTGGAGCTAATTAGGTTTATTTAACATAAGCGTGGCCGCCCAAATATTAACTCTGTGAAGAAACTGTTTTTTAAACTTAACTTTACACAATTTAAAGATGTGGAAAATGCAACAAAAAAGAAGAAGCTATTCCATTCAAATACCTTCCCTTTGAGAGCCTTGGGGCCTCAGGAGACCAAAAGGAATCAAGGGCTGCAGCCCTCTGTATATTTCCACTTGATACCCCCTCTATGACCCCCTCCTATGGAGGAGGAGGTGACCGTCAGCATGCAGGTGTTTTCACCAAGCCTCAACCACGAGATGTACATTATGCATGCGATGGTACCACGTGCGCACTGCTGTCAGCTGCATTCCGGCGGAGCAACACTGCCACCAGCTGGCCTCCGCGGGAACGGCCACAGGATGCATGACGAGTCTTGTGCCTCAAAGAATCAACTTTTTCTTGTGGGTATTTTGAACAAAAACAAAATGAAAAAAGTCGCAACAAATATGTTCAATCAGCGACGTACGTGTGTTGCTGAATGTAATGCAGGGAACTCAATGTGTGAGAGCTCCTCGCTGCCGATGAATTAACAATCTGCGTGTGTATTTAAGTTATTTTTGGACATCCGTGCATGGCAGGTATATAATGGTCTCAGACCCTGCAGTGTTTCCTGCTATAAAATTTAATTTCTGCCACATGATGGTTTGACTCGGGGCAAAGCCCCATCGAGCTGCCACTTTACACAGCAGCATTCACATTGTGTTTGACGGAATACAGCGCTCCCCGTGCAGGACTGAAGAGTTCTTTCTGTTACTATAGGAACTCATGTAGAGGTAAGTCAGCAGCTCAGCCGGGGAGGCACTGCTATTAATACATTATTTAATTTGCCATTATTTCTATTTTAACCTCACTTCAACCTTCCATTTGTAAAATAAATAGGCGTTTATTTATCCGATGCAATCTATTTACCATCAGCAATGTTATTATACCTACAGTTTTTTGTATCATTTCGATATTTGTCATTTGACAGTTTTTTTTTTACTTTTAGTTAAACACTCCGGATATATATATATATGTGTGTGTATATATATGTGTATATATATATATAAATGTGTGTATATATATATATATATATGTATATATCTGTATATATGTATATATACATATATATATACACATATATATGTATGTATGTATATGTATGTATGTATATATGTATATGTATATATATACTGTACATATGTATATATATATATATATATTCCTCCTCGTTTAATTGTTCCGACCTCCCTCCCTCTTTTCTTATTCTTTCCCTTTTTTTGTAATGGCTCTAGGCGACCAGCAGGGGCGCTAACTACTTTCCTTCTGTATTTGACCGGTAGAAAAAAACGTCGATGAAGAAGAGGTCTGCGCATGCGCACTCGACTGTTCATATGTTGTGGCAGTTTGCCTCTTGCTTCTTCAGGTAGACGGTAGGAAAATATTTAATACAATTTTAAAGACAAACGGGCAGGTGCTTGTTGCTGCTTATTCAGGTTAAAGCTATAAAATACAAATGTATATAAAACGTATATATTTGCAGATAGCTGTGTGTGGTGTGTGTCACTCCACACACATAACAGCACTAGAGATTCCATCGCCCCAGTCCTTGCAAAGCTCCACTGGCTTGAGTACCTTGTAAAGCGCTATACAAATACAAATGATTATTATCATTAAGCTAACCTCCGACCCAGTCTTTCCAGGTAAGGGCCCTCGCATGGCGAGTGAGCAGATCCATGGAGGTGATGAGGAGGCAGGAGCAGATGGAGCAATGCTGTGGTCCATCCGGGAGGCCGTGGAGAGGCAGACCGTGCAGATAGGAGCCTCGGCCTGCGGGGCCACAGCTGTGGTGGACGTGCTGAAGGCCCTCGGCGTGGAGGTGCCCCCCGAGGAAGCGGACCGCTGCGTCCGGACCCGCCTGAGGAGGAACGAGTCCCCGCTACCCGACTACCTGCTGTCCCGGAGTGAAGCAGGTCAATTAAGCCAGCAGTGGGCTCTTAAAGGAGCAACTGTAATTGAGTTTTTCAGCTCTGTTACACCGTTTTTTTTCTCGCATTGGCGTCTGCGGCGTTTGGCTCAATCGAGGCTCATAGACACTCACCCCACGTCGAATCTAATAGGGCGCTCTTTTTCCTACATGGTCGGATGATGATGGTGATGGAAGGATTGTAATTCATTTCAGGTGCAACTCATTCTCAGCTCATCCAGGGAGCACAGGAGGCCAGCAAGGGGAAGGTAGTGGGACGCTTCTTCCACTTCCACCCTCGGCGGCTGGTCGGGCTGATCCTCTGGCTCGCACGCTGGATCCGAAAAGGCGCTGTTCCCGTGGCGACCATGAACATGCAGCTGGCCGTGCCCGAGGGAGAGGAAGTGCCGGACGCCTGGCACCACCAGCTCATATTTGGCGTTGCACCCAATACTGTTTTCATGACCAACCCTTTAGATGTCGGTGAGTAAGGGCGTTTATCCAAAAGCATTCTCTCTCCTCAAATGTAGACAAGCCTTTTTCTTCCTCTTTCAGGCAGTGAGGAGGAGGTCCACCAGAGGCTCTGCAGTGAATCTGTGTTGCTGATTCGTCGAGAAGATGTCCTGCAGAGACTGACGCCGGATTGCTGTCTGTCCGGTTTGTCTGAGAGTCGGTCCGACCCTCGGTGGAAAGCCCTGGATGTCGAGGGTAGAGCGCGTTAATTAAGCTTTTATTTATGCAGACTTTTCCTCCGTTGAGAGTTTTCATCCCCGTTTTTCCCTGCCTATTAGGTCAAGTGAGGCAGGTGGCCCTCGAAGAGGAGCAGGAGCCAGATCGACCCGGGTCGGTGCACGTGACCATCCCGGCGGCGTACAGCTCGGGCATCACGCTGTTCGCCCTGCGAGAGTCCCTCTTAGGTCAAGAACTCCTCGATGCCCCCGAACTCCCTCTCCTGTAACACTACTGCCACTCGTGCTCCTCAAGGCTTATTTATTGTGACATGAAAATGAAAAACACCTGATTGATCCCGGTGCTTTAGGATCAGCAGACATCCTCCTGAAGGGACACGACTGGAGGAGGGGTTCAAAGGGAGAGAGAGCGAGGGACAACCAAAGCCATGATATATGATCCGTACCGATGATGCAGCTGTAGCACAGCCGGTCGCAGGCTGCAGACAATGAACCGCGTAGCAGAATGTGTTGCAGATGTGTGCTCGTGCTGTAAAGGGACTATAAAACCGTGCACCACAAACACCAATTGTTGACACTTATTGTTGATACATCTGTTTTCTAACCTAAACTGCACATGCCCCCTCCTGCACCTTTAGCAGTGAGTGGCCACACATTCAGCTGAAACAGCTGCAAATATTTGTCATTTTGTCTTAACAGTTTGGTGTGAGTGCATTAAGTTTCACGTAACGAGAGGAGCATTCATGCATTCATTTCACTGCTGTAATTTACGATGATCAAGAGCTTCAGCAGACTTGACTGAGCTGATTGCTGATGAGCTCATTTCAATAAATGTCATATTTATGGGATTAAATATCAACTGGCATATTCTGATCCTCTTGTTAGCAGTGCCATGAAAAAAACCTGCAACCTGCAATGACGGAGTACATGAAGGGGTGAGTATTAAGCGCAGTATTTTTCACAAGAATATGGTGATGTTAAAGTAAAAAAGTATCCAAAATCCTACTTGGGTACCTCCAAATGAAATCCATCCATCCATCCATTGTCAAACCGCTTATCCTGCACACAGGGTCGCGGGGGGGCTGGAGTCCATCCCAGCCAACTTTGGGCGATAGACAGGGTACATCCTGGATTGGTCGCCAGCCAATCGCAGGACTAACACAGAGACACACAACCACCTCCAAATGAAAGTGGTGTAGAATTCCTAATGCATGCAAATAAGTACTTTACAAGGACTGCTTTTGGCAGTACAGGTGACACATGAACTAAGGCCATTCTCAATATGCGTTCTCGTGGACTCGTGAAACGTCATCAGTCGCAGCCCGAGTACTGGGTCCGTGTACCTTTTGATCGCCCCTTTTACCGTAAAAACCATCAAATGAAAACACTGTTTTTCCGTTTTTTGCTTTATCCATGCGGTTACCAGGGTAACATTAGAAGAAAAGTGCATTAATCAATAGAAAAGGTGAGGCATTTAACCCCAAGAACACCATGCCTACTGTCAAGTGATGTAAGTCACTCTTAATTATTATGCACATTATTAGTATTTTTAATCCCATGAATAATTTTGGCGATGGGTGCCATCCGGCGCATGTAGGGGTTAGTGGGAATGAGAGGCAGACAGGCTGGCAAAGAGGGCACTGAACAAAGCAAACATAGGATGGACATTACTATCAGTAAAGCAGAGGTGAAGTGCATTGTTTGCCCAAAAAATCTACAAATTGTGGCAAAAACGGTGGGACAGAGGGGAGAAAGGGAGACATTTATACCATTCACAAAAGATTGTCAAAGTCACAAGGGTGGGCAGAAGGAACAGGGGAGAAGAGACAGTGATGACTAGGTTAAGGTCAGGGCATTGTGCTCTAAACAAAACACTGAAGATTATAGGAACATGTTGGAAAAACTGCAATAATGTCATGTGAAGAAGGGGTTTTAGACAGGACTATGTTTGGACAATAAATTGGGTGTATGACATCTCAGATGTCATCTTCATTCAGTATTCATTTTTCTAACAGAAAACATGAGAGAGGGTTGTGTGAAGGATGTGGAGAGGAGGAGTCGGTTGAGCACATCGTGGTGAGGTATGAGGTGCAAAGAGAGAGGATGAGGAATCAGCTTATTTTTATTCATTTACTTATTTATGTATTTTTCTTATTTTATATTTTGGGGGAGAGAGGGGTACTTTGGGAGAAAGAGCCACACTACGGGCAGAACCGCAGGTGGCGGTGATGCGCTGCCAATACACCAAAGAAGAAGAAAAAGACGACGACGACGAAGAAGAAGACATGCCGCCGAAATTTGTCAAGCAAGAGCAGCAAATAAAAGGTAAGACGGCACCAAGGAAACGGGACGCGATCCGCTGTTTCTGCGCTATTTAGCGCTTCGGAGTGACGCTGCGTTACCGCGCGCAGCTCATCATTCCATCAGCGCAAAACACACACGTGTGTTTGCGCGCGCCCGCGCGCGCGTATGCAACGCGTGTTGACATCCACAGTCCTTAGGTCACAGGTGTCAAACTCAAGGCCCGCCGGGGGGTCCAGCTCGGCCCGCCGGATGACTCTGCTATTGTGAGAATTACAGAAAGACATCAATGACGCTTATATAAAACATAGCTGCTATTCTAGAAGCGTCTACTGGGCGCGTCGCATGTGACGCATTCACCCACGCGCTGCCGGTAGATGCGCGATGGCCACCGCCACCGCGACGCTTTAGAAATGAACACGAGGGGATTCTGTATTTGCTCATTTGGCCAATGTTTGGAACCCGACCGAAGCCAGCGGACAGAGGACACCTGGGCCCTGTTCCTCGTACGTGGTTCAACTAAGTCGATCAAATGTCTACTGTAATTCCAATACTTTTAGCGGTAACGAGCATGTAACGAAGTATTTTTTAAATACATTAACGCAGTTACAATTACTGAAATTGAAATTAGTTCGTTACTCTCTTTTGTGACGCGAAGCGGAGGGCCGGCAAATAGTAAGTAAATAGCTGCCCCGCGGATGCTGGATGTTGTGACTTTATGCTACATGTATAATCACTGTTATAGTCGTATACTACACGTGGGCTATCTCAATCGATACAAATGCACGGAGACGAGGATGCAGTACAAATTAGGCCATTTACTGGCGCTCAAATCACACAACCGGCAGGCATGAACAAACAATCACAGAACTCCGTCGTAGTGACAGTCAAACACAATCGAGCACTGAGTGCTCGATCCAATATACCACACTGCAGGCGCCGCTCCACGCAAACAACCACGGCAATAGATTGATCGCTCGCTATGTTGAAGATGAGATGCATCCTGTCAACCGTCGAGTCAGTTGCCTTCAGGCAAATGCCTGAAACAGTTATTTTGTATTAAGTTAAGTATTAAAAAAGACTTTTGTACTATTGCTTGATTTGAAGGCCTGTTGCCCTGTTGATTACAATAAATAGGTCTAAAAAATATGTTTATTGTGTTTGACTGTTCAGTACTATTTATATTCATTACATTTAAAAAGCAGACATAAAAGTAACTTAAATGTTACTTTCCAGAGTAACTAATTACTTTTGATGCACAGTAACTGGTAAGTAATTCAATTACCTTTAAAAGTAGTAACTGTAACTAAATACTCATTTTCAGTAACTTGCCCATAATCCAGGTCAAATGACCAAGATGATTGACATCTGGCTATCTCTGTCCCTCGACGGCGGATCGGCGCTCGAATCGTCTCGTTAGTTTGAACCAGATGTCGATCATCAGGATTACCGCACGTGCGCGTCCTATGTCAGAAGGCGGAAGAGTCATGAACACATATGATGAGATGTTAATTTGAATCATTTCTGTCTGATGAATTTAACATATTATACATATTTTACATTGTTCATTCTGTACGTCCATCGCGTTCTGTCCGTCCCAGGGAAGAATAAAGGTTTCTTCCCTTTATTCTTCCCATCAACCACAAGTTCTCAATGGGATTAAGGTCTGGGGAGTTTCCTGGCCATGGACCCAAAATTTCAATGTTTTGTTCCCCGAGCCACTTAGTAATCACTTTTGCCTTATGGCAAGGTGCTCCATCATGCTGGAAAAGGCGACGTCTTTAACCCCAAGAACATCATGCCTACTGTCAAGTACGGTGGTGGTAGTATTATGCTGTGGGGCTGTTTTGCTGCCAATGGAACTGGTTCTTTACTGTCGTATCGTCCACCCCCGACAAAAAAAAATCACTCCAAGGTTTCTTGAAAAGTTGAGAGCGCCGGTAGAGTCTGCAGACTGGCCGCACTGGGCTGAAGGCGAATACTTCATTGTATCTCGTCCTGACCGTGGCTTTGCTTTTCCGTGTCGATGAGCCGCGGCTGATTCGGCGCTGCCTGATGACCGTGCCTTTTTCTTACTTGTTTCATTTAATTGACTTGTTGTTCCACGTGATTGGACCCGGGCTGCTGTGGCTCTACAAGATTATAATTCCCTCTGTAAAGGTCAGCGCTCCGTTACAGCGCAGCAAACTCCTTTGTGTTGTGGGTCAAGCGTTGCATTAATCAAAGAGATGCTTCCCGAGCGCTTGAAGTGTGCCGGTGGTGTCGCTGTGGTGCTGACGGTGTGTTCTGGCCCCCCAGGTGACATGGCGGAGAAGGTGCTGGTGGTCGGCGGTGGCGGACGGGAGCACGCGCTGGCCTGGAAGTTGGCCCAATCGCCGCAGGTCCAGCAAGTCCTGGTTGCCCCGGGTAACGCAGGCACGGCCGGCTGTGGGAAGATCTGCAACTCTGGTAATTGCCGAGGATGTTTAAACGATAAAAACACCCGTAGCTACAACCGTGACCGTGCTGCTTCCTCTCTCTTTCCACGCAGAGGTGTCTGTGAGTAACCACGCCATTCTGGCTCAGTTCTGTAAGGATCACCACGTGGGGCTGGTCGTGGTCGGGCCGGAGGTGCCTCTGGCGGCAGGTAAGCTCCCGCCCTCCTACAAACTGTGCTGTCCGTAGCGTCTTTTCCCTGACCTTTGACCTCTCCTCCAGGTATGGTAGATGACCTGACGGCAGCAGGAGTGCCCTGTTTCGGCCCGTCGGCCAAAGCCGCTCAGCTGGAGGCCAGCAAAAGCTTCTCCAAGGCCTTCATGGAGCGCCACGGCATCCCCACGGCCCGCTACGGCTCCTTCACCGCCCCCGAGGAGGCCTGCAACTACATCCGCACGTCAGTACGGCAGACGGGCAGCAAACAGTTGATTGTATGAGGGAGAGCATACAAGTTAGAGGAAATGAACAGAGGAAACCAAGAAATGTTTTGAAGTATTCATGGTGAAACTATAACACCATTCTTTTTAAATTCAGCTTTGATCTCCTGTCGCAATGTTGTGGAGTTGAACTCAATATTTGCACCATGTTAGAAAATGTTATTTCCTCCGAGGTTTTGTTTCTCAGATTGTTTCACGAGTTGATGATTTAAAATGTAAAGACTGCACCTTCAAACTGTCCACCAGAAGAGTTTCCACTTTTACAGAAAAAAATCTATACTGTGGGAAAGTCATTTCCTTGTTTAGGAAACGGCGGCTGCCCTATTCGTCTTTTAACGCTCAGTTTGTGTCGTTGCTGGGGGGGATCGGGGGTCTCCAGGGCCGACTTCCCGGCGCTGGTGGTGAAGGCCAGCGGGCTGGCAGCAGGGAAGGGAGTCATCGTGGCAGGAGACCGGGAAGAGGCCTGTCGGGCTGTGATGGACATCATGAAGGTACGAAACCTCTCCGGGCTCCTTCATCCGAGTAGTCACACTAGCCTGGAGGGGAGAGAGAAGACAAATGTCTTACTGAAGTACAGCGACTGAACCACTCCTGTGACTGATGATTGTTAAAGTAGATGCACAGGCTTCACACGTTTAGCTGATTGTTCCTCTGACGCTGTGGCCGCTGCAGGACCGAGCCTTCGGCTCTGCAGGGGAAACCGTGGTGGTGGAGGAGCTGCTGGAAGGAGAGGAAGTGTCTGTGAGTTGAAAACCATAAAAGAATTGCCCCAAATGCACCTTACTGTGCAAATCAGAGGAGAATTGACGCCACCCCCCCCCTCCCTTTTCGTTTCCTAGTGCCTTTGCTTCTCTGACGGCTCCTCGGTGTCACCGATGCCTCCAGCACAGGATCACAAGAGGCTGCAAGACGGAGACCTGGGGCCGAACACCGGCGGCATGGGGGCCTACTGCCCCACCCCCCAGGTACACGCTTCACCCTCCTCTCAGTAGCCCCCTTCTAGTACTCTCCTTGGCCCGATGTGTAATGCTGCTCGCGTCTCTGCTGCAGGTGAGCCAGGAGCTGCTGCAGCAGATCAGAGACACGGTCCTGCAGAAGACCGTGGACGGGATGAGGGAGGAGGGAACTCCTTATGTGGGCAAGTGCTCTGCCGACCAGCGCGCGCCGCTGCACGCCGTCTTCTATTTGTGCTTTGACATTGATAAAGTTCACGCTGGCTCTTTTTATTTCCAGGTGTTCTGTACGCAGGGCTGATGTTGACCAAGCAGGGGCTGAAGGTCCTGGAGTTCAACTGTCGCTTTGGAGACCCCGAGTGTCAGGTGGGTTTCTCTGCCCTCCATCCATCACGGGATTGTCTTTTATTAATATACATCAGAAATGTCCCGTTCTCTCTAGAACCATTTGGTCTCGGTTCAGAAAAGTTCATAATTGGAATTCTAAAGATGTCTGGCTGATTTGTGTCTCTTAACATGAGTGTTACGGTGCAAATAACACTCAGCTGAGCCCGCTTACAACAGCCAGCACCCCCCCCCACCACCACCACCACCACACCACCACCTCACATACGCACGCACACCCTCCCCCCCAACGCGCACTGAGCGGCGCAGCTAGCTGACGTAAGCTAACAGTCACTGAGCTGTGTGAACTGGCCTTTTTTCTACTTTTCTCTCTCAAATCACGGGGCCTTGAAAACAAAATCCAGTCACAAGCTCAGGCTCTTGTGAGAGAATAAAAGGACTTGCTTAATGAATGATGTCTGCCACAAGCATTAGCCCTCAGGTCGGATTGGTACCTCGCCCGTAACACAGCTTTGCGAGCTAACGTTAGCTCAACCCCGCTAACGATTTTATTGTCATTGGGTCACGGCTATTTCTCGGAAGCGCTAGCTAGCTAGCCACTGACGTTAGCCGGGTGCATGTAGCGAGCTAGCACGGCTACATTCCGGCCAGCGGTTGAATGTTTTAACGGACGTTTAATAGGAATGATGCTTCAGTGGTATGTTATCATGCTGGCCCGTGTATACGATTCACATTCCTTTTTCTTTAATAATTAAAAAAATAATAATATACAGTTCAATATTTTTTTACATAGGCTTTTTTTACAATGCTACCCGCATTGTTGATAGAAAGTCATAGTTGTGACAGATTTTTTCTCTCTTGGAGAAGGTAATTCATCTGTTGATTGTCTTTAATTATCATACAAAGTAGGAAGTGATTAGCAACCTCTGAGTAGCAAACTCAAATGTTTTAAATCTGGATGCATTGATAATCGTTTTATCGATTTTAGAATTGATAATCTGTTTGGAATCAATTAATCTGTATTGAATCGTTGACCTCTGATTCGGAATCGAATCGCGATGTGCAAAGAGATTCCCACCCCTAATGTCCCGTCACTCCTTCAGGTGCTGCTGCCCCTCCTGAAGAGCGACCTGTATGAAGTGATCTTGAACACCATGAGTGGCAAACTGGTCTCCAGCGCCCCCGTGTGGCACCAGGACAGCTCTGCGGTCACCGTGGTGATGGCCAGCGCTGGGTACCCCGGCTCCTACAAGAAAGGAGTGGAGATCACAGGCACGCATTGCTAACCGCTCAAATGACACGATGCCAATCACGGCCCGAGCCCAGTGGCTTTTCTACAACTACAGTAATGTTTACACGTCGCTATATTTAGTTTGTTTCTTGTCAGGTTTTATCACGCAGCACATCTTTAATGATTTAAACCTCACACGCCACGTTTTAGATTGTAAATCCTTTTCGTGTGTTTGGTAACTTCAAGCCGGGCGTACGCCAGACTAACGGCGTGTTCATCCTCAGGCTTGTCCCAGGTCCAGGACTCGGGGGTGCAGGTGTTCCACGCCGGCACGGCTCTGAAGGAAGGAGGCGTGGTCTCCAGCGGGGGGAGGGTCCTCACCGTCACCGCGGTCAGGCCGTCACTGGAGTCGGCCCTGCAGGCGGCCAATCAGGGCGTGGCCGCCGTGGGCTTCCCGGGGGCCGTGTACCGGCGCGACATCGGCCACCGGGCCATCGCCCACCTGAACCCAGACCGCAGGTGTGTGTGAGAAAGTGTTTTGTTCACACTAGTTTGTGGTCAAGTCCATCTTTGTACTGTATATCATGTGGAACTTAATAAACATGAAATTATATGTACTCGGGTCCTAGTATTTCTTTAAATGACCATGTCACTGATTGACTCCTTAATGGTGTAACACTCAGAGCAACAGCCTTCACTGTGTCTCTGACAGAGGTCTGACCTATAAAGGCTGCGGAGTGGACATCGCTGCTGGAAACAAGTTGGTGGAGATGATCAAGCCTCTGGCCAAGGCGACGTCCCGCCCCGGTAACATTAAATACTATTATGGTGCAATTAAATAATGAGGCTATTGTATCTTTAAGTGCAGATACTTTAAAGCAGCTGATTGAAACAATTTGTAGTTGTGCTGTCATTTTGATGTTTGAGGTAAAGTCAGCGGCTCCAATGCAGTCAAATCCCAGGTTTTGCTTCCATCAGGGTGTAATGCAGAACTGGGAGGCTTCGCTGGGCTGTTTGACCTGAAGGGAGCCGGTTTTGTCGACCCGATCCTGGTTTCTGGGACAGACGGCGTGGGGACCAAACTCAGGGTAGGTGTCCGGTTCCTTTGACGCGTTGATGGAGAAGAAGGAAGGTTTGTTTGCCACGAGGCAAACTTAGAAGAAACCACCAAAAGCCTGGACTCTCTCCAGATTTGGCTCAGACGGGACAGAGAAGCAGGGGAAAGATCCGTGATTCTTTCAGGAATTCTTCTCTCTATATTTTTGATAACCACAGATTGCTCAGGCGTGCGGTCGGCACGGCGGCCTGGGTCAGGACCTGGTGGCCATGTGTGTGAACGACGTGTTGGCTCAAGGCGCCGAGCCGCTCTTCTTCCTCGACTACTTCTCCTGCGGCAGGCTGGACGTGGACGTCGCAGCGGCGGTGGTCGGCGGCGTCGCCGCGGCCTGCAAGGTGGCCGGCTGCGCTCTGCTGGGTGAGCTGTGGGGACGTTTATGGGACTCTGCTTCCTTCAGACGCTCTACTACCCGCGTCTTGACGTCTCTGGTCTCTCCCATGTCCAGGTGGTGAGACGGCAGAAATGCCCGGCGTCTACGCGGCGGGCGAGTACGACCTGGCCGGGTTCTGTGTTGGCGCGGTGGAGCGCGGGGCTCTGCTGCCCCGGCTGGGGGACATCCAGGAGGGGGACCTGCTGGTCGGGCTGGCCTCCTCCGGGGTCCACAGCAACGGCTTCAGCCTGGTCAGCAAAGTGCTGCAGAGGGCCAACCTCGATTACAGCTCCCCTGCTCTTTTTGCCGATTCGGGACGGACCGTCGGTGAGTCGACCAAATAATTAGTTGAGAGCAACTGGCACATTGATTTATTACAAAGTTCCATTGCTTACATGTTTACCCCTTTAAAGCCCACCACGTGACTGTAACCATGTGACTCTGCTTCTAGGCGACGTTTTGCTGACTCCGACGAAGATCTACAGCCGCCTGCTGCTGCCAATCCTCCGCAGCGGCGCCGTCAAAGCCTTCGCCCACATCACGGGGGGGGGGCTTCTGGAGAACATCCCTCGGGTGCTGCCCCAGGAGCTGGCCGTCGATTTAGGTGAGATGAGGAAGCGTCGTGGATGAAGCTGAAACATTTGTGGCTCGCATTCAATAATATTTCCACGTGGCCTTTGTGACGCGACTCAGATGCCTCTCGGTGGAGCATCCCACCAGTGTTCTCCTGGATCCACAAGGAGGGGGGTCTGAGCGAGGAGGAGATGGCCCGCACCTTCAACTGCGGCCTGGGGGCCGTGCTGGTGGTTTCCCCCGAGGATGCTCAGACGGTGCTATGCCAGTTCAAACCTAATGAAGAGGCGTGGATTGTGGGTTCGCTGGTCCACAAGCAGCAGGGTGAGACACGCTGGAAAGTAAAACGCAATCGTCTCTTTTACTGTAATTCATTTGACTGAAAAAAAACAAACGTGAATGTATGCAGGGGCCAAGCAGGTGGTGGTCCGCAACCTGAAACACCGCCTCCAGGGTGGAGGTCCCGCTCCCAGCAAGAGGATCAGGATGGACAAGTATGTAGTACTTATTAAATACTGAACATGAAATTGTATGAACTTGGGTCCTAGTGTCTTTAAATGGCCGAGTCCCTGATTGAGTGTAATGGTGTAACACTCAGAGCAACAGCCTTCACTGTGTCTCTGACAGAGGTCTGACCTATAAAGGCTGCGGAGTGGACATCGCTGCTGGAAACAAGTTGGTGGAGATGATGAAGCCTCTGGCCAAGGCGACGTCCCGCCCCGGTAACATTAAATACTATTATGGTGCAATTAAATAATGAGGCTATTGTATCTTTAAGTGCAGATACTTTAAAGCAGCTGATTGAAACAATTTGTAGTTGTGCTGTCATTTTGATGTTTGAGGTAAAGTCAGCGGCTCCAATGCAGTCAAATCCCAGGTTTTGCTTCCATCAGGGTGTAATGCAGAACTGGGAGGCTTCGCTGGGCTGTTTGACCTGAAGGGAGCCGGTTTTGTCGACCCGATCCTGGTTTCTGGGACAGACGGCGTGGGGACCAAACTCAGGGTAGGTGTCCGGTTCCTTTGACGCGTTGATGGAGAAGAAATAAGGTTTGTTTGCCACGAGGAAACCACCAAAAGCCTGGACTCTCTCCAGATTTGGCTCAGACGGGACAGAGAAGCAGGGGAAAGATCCGTGATTCTTTCAGGAATTATTCTCTCTATATTTTTGATAACCACAGATTGCCCAGGCGTGCGGTCGGCACGGCGGCCTGGGTCAGGACCTGGTGGCCATGTGTGTGAACGACGTGTTGGCTCAAGGCGCCGAGCCGCTCTTCTTCCTCGACTACTTCTCCTGCGGCAGGCTGGACGTGGACGTCGCAGCGGCGGTGGTCGGCGGCGTCGCCGCGGCCTGCAAGGTGGCCGGCTGCGCTCTGCTGGGTGAGCTGTGGGGACGTTTATGGGACTCTGCTTCCTTCAGACGCTCTACTACCCGCGTCTTGACGTCTCTGGTCTCTCCCATGTCCAGGTGGTGAGACGGCAGAAATGCCCGGCGTCTACGCGGCGGGCGAGTACGACCTGGCCGGGTTCTGTGTTGGCGCGGTGGAGCGCGGGGCTCTGCTGCCCCGGCTGGGGGACATCCAGGAGGGGGACCTGCTGGTCGGGCTGGCCTCCTCCGGGGTCCACAGCAACGGCTTCAGCCTGGTCAGCAAAGTGCTGCAGAGGGCCAACCTCGAATACAGCTCCCCTGCTCTTTTTGCCGATTCGGGACGGACCGTCGGTGAGTCGACCAAATAATTAGTTGAGAGCAACTGGCACATTGATTTATTACAAAGTTCCATTGCTTACATGTTTACCCCTTTAAAGCCCACCACGTGACTGTAACCATGTGACTCTGCTTCTAGGCGACGTTTTGCTGACTCCGACGAAGATCTACAGCCGCCTGCTGCTGCCAATCCTCCGCAGCGGCGCCGTCAAAGCCTTCGCCCACATCACGGGGGGGGGGCTTCTGGAGAACATCCCTCGGGTGCTGCCCCAGGATCTGGCCGTCGATTTAGGTGAGATGAGGAAGCGTCGTGGATGAAGCTGAAACATTTGTGGCTCGCATTCAATAATATTTACACGTGGACTTTGTGACGCGACTCAGATGCCTCTCGGTGGAGCATCCCACCAGTGTTCTCCTGGATCCACAAGGAGGGGGGTCTGAGCGAGGAGGAGATGGCCCGCACCTTCAACTGCGGCCTGGGGGCCGTGCTGGTGGTTGCCCCCGAGGATGCTCAGACGGTGCTATGCCAGTTCAAACCTAATGAAGAGGCGTGGATTGTGGGTTCGCTGGTCCACAAGCAGCAGGGTGAGACACGCTGGAAAGTAAAACGCAATCATCTCTTTTACTGTAATTCATTTGACTGAAAAAAACAAACGTGAATGTACGCAGGGGCCAAGCAGGTGGTGGTCCGCAACCTGAAACACCGCCTCCAGGTTGGAAGGACCGCTCCCAGTGGAGAGTTGAGCGTCAATCAGAACAAAAATTTCCATTGCAATAGCGAGACGCCGCGCAAGAAGACCAGAGCTCCGCCAAGAGAACCAGGGCTCGAGAGGACGAACGCATCGTGTGGGAGTCCAGTTTCCAGAGTTAAAAACCACACATCCAGTTCTCATCCACAACTACAGTCTGCTCCGGAAATACAAACTGTCTAGATAGTCATGGTTTAACACCGCTAGCGGTACTTAAGGTCTACAAAGCATACATAAAAATATTTCAACGTTGTTACAAAACCAAATTACACTTCAATGTTAATATCCTCTTGCATAAAATAGGTCAGCATTTCCTATTATGAGTTCCTGTGATGTTTTCAGGTAATTTGGATGTGACTGTTAGCTCCTATGGAAGCGCAGGACGGACAGCCTCTCCTTTCCAGCTCTAGTAGACGTGTGTGTATTTCCCCTCAAGCCATATTTGCCCAGAAAACCGATGATCTCGTCTGATGGGAGAATAAAGATCAGTGAACTGTCCGCAATTTTTCCCGTTGTACAAACCATTGTAGGAACAATCCTAAACTCACCTGGCCTGTTCTCGGCAATGGTAACCAGGTAGAATAACCCACCTGAGGGACCGCCGGGAGAAACCTGACTCATTTTGGAATACTAATAATAAAATAAATAAACAGGACGATAGTCCCTGTCTTTCTCCTTTTGGAGTCAAATTTTGTAAATGAGCGAAACAATGTTGTGCATAATAAGAATAAAAAGTGACTTGCATAGTCTCTATGAAGCTGTCAACACACACACACAATTATGTGTGTGTTAAAAGAGAATTATCTGTAATGAAGAGAGAGGTGGAGATACAGGCTGACAAACATGACAAACGTCAGTAAACAGTTGGACAAGTCTTGAAATCACGGATTTTGTAAGTTTGTTTGTTTATTATTAGGCAAACGTTGGACCAGCGGCCAGCGGCGCTAATGTGGTTAATTTATCACAAAACAACGTCGGGGGGGATTTCACAATCAGCGTCATCACCTGCTGCTCTGACGCTACATCCGTTTGGCGCTCAGCACAGCACGAGCACTGAGTGGAAGAGGGAGGGAGGGGGCGGGGCTTGGAGCGCCGCGGGGCATGTCGGGGCGAAATCATTGCCCCCGCGCGATATCTAAACACATTTGAGGGGGAATTTGTCATTTTTATTCTTAAATATTGATGAATGAAGAAAAAATTAGGCTTCAAATGAAAGGGGCACTTTTCTCATCCAGGGTAAAGGCGCAGGTGCTTCAGCGCCGCTAGGGTCTATCTGTGCGCGTGCCTGGAGATTGTGTAAGGTTTTCTTTGGTGGAGGGAAAATAGAAGATTATGCAGCCGCATTGGAGGTGTCTTAATGCAGTTTAAACAACAAATATTGAAAGAGCTTCTTAATTGTTAATTAAAAGCATATATTAGTCTAGCTAATTTAAAACACTATAACTGTCAACCTGGGCAATTATCCGTTTCCTCCCTTGTTTCCCTTTAAAACTGGTTTGAAGGCTTTCTAAGAAGTACAAAGGCGCTTAAGCATGTTTTGCTCTTTTCCCTTTAAATCTAATGTGTCCGTCAAATGATGCCTTCTTTGTGCAAAGGCAAAATAAAGCTACCAGCATACTGGAATATCTAAATATATTAATATTGTTGACAATCTTTTTTAGTTTTCTGTCTGTTACTAACCATCTCATTCATAAACATGCTTAAGTACACATGTCAAAAATAGGTATGAATAATTAAATTAATGATTACAGATAATAAATAAGTCACAGTAAATGATTCCCAATAAAATAGTATCATGTTTCATATCATATTGTTTGCTACCCTCCATCCAAAAGTATGATTACTTTTTTTTAAATTAATCATCTGTCAAACTATTGATTGACCAAATTGAAGCGCTATCATTAAATCATGCGCGGGCCCTCGTCATGACGTCACCATTTAGCTAAGGTTAATGAGCGTCACAGATGACACAACCAAAGATGGCGGACAAGCATGAACTGTAACCTTACTGCTGTTTGTGTACCTGCTTCGTAAAGATGGATAGAGGACAAAGTAAGATGATAAAATCAGACTGACTGGGGATTTATGCTGTCGACCGGGGACAACAACAGCAAAACCACCACTGACAAATATTAACACTCGTCGCGGCGTCCATTGCTAAGTGGGCTAACATTAGCTTGAGGCTAATTTGTGCTAACGGCTGTTCACTCGGTTCTTCAGCTGTTCAAACGATCTAACGCTAGTGGTCAATTAACCCTAATGAGAGCTGAACACATTCTTGTGATGGCCACATGGCGTTTGGAGGAGTTTTAGTTTCGTTTCTATCCGCCCTTAAAGTTAGCTGGGGACGCGCATCCCTCCGCCGTAATCCGTCTGCCTCGTGTCACCTGTAACGGTTCCCGGTGTTGTGTGTTTTGGGGTTTCGAGCGTACACATTTTGACTTAAAAAAACATTTTGACATATGTTTTTTAATTCTTTTCTGTGGCATTTTTTGACCCTGCTTAAATGTGTAGCCCTGGAATGATCTTCTTAGACACAGCAACCTAACTGCCCCTGTCAGTATACAAAAATCAATGGATTGCCCAAATAACATTCATAAATAAAATATCATAATGGGTTAATGCCCCCGAGACACATTGGTGCAGCTTGGAGGATCAATCATGCTATTCATCCTTTCTTGCATTGGTATAGGCACTTTGCCACTCACTTTGGGACACTTTTTTACTACAATCCAGACCAAAAGTGAATTTGAACCGAGAATTTATGGGTGGATGCACTAAAAGAGTAAACAAATCTACGGCCTGTGCCAGATTCAGTTAAAAGTTGTCCATGGGATGCACTTAAGTAACAGTAGACTATATAGATACAAATGTGATCGGGTCATTTTTACCTGGCCCTCTCTCCCATCAAAAAGGGTCATCAGGAACATTTATTGCCAAAATATGTTAGACATACAATATATTTGATATGACGCATAGTATATTAGAAGAAAAGTCCAAATATGTAAGGTGGAAAAAAAGTGATAGTATAAATGTCATGGCAATAAAGTTCTAAGCTCCAAAGTTTGAACCTCCCCTTTTAGAGAGCAGGTTTGAACTGTGGATCTTCCACCCTTCAGCCTTCCTGCTATCTCCCTACACTGTTCCATCTCACACATATTGAAGCTTTAACTCTGGACTTTGTCGAGTCGATCCTCAGTACTCTTATAGACTCTCAGGTTGGAATCCACAACCGTTCCAAATCCATTATAATAGAATTGCAGGTCAAGGAAAGTCATAATATGGCATGTCTAATAAACTCATAGTCAATTTAACTTATTTTATGACTTGCTGTGATCTTTATTTCACTTTTTTGACATGCTATGACTACTTCTGCTCGGCTGCAGGTTTCCATAGCAACGGCGAGATGCCACGCAAGAGGACCAGGGTGGCCGTCCTCATCTCTGGCACAGGTGTGTTTTTATTGCTCTGGAAAAGAGGCATTGAATCGGAGTGCCTTGTGCGCCCATCGAAGGAGTAGTTCAATATTTGAGGAAATGATCTGTGCAGTAGTCATTTACTCTCTGTCTTTAAAGTCTTCTGGTATGTTTGTCCCAGGCACCAACTTGCAGGCGCTGATAGAGCAGGCCAAGCACCCATCGAGCTCTGCAGAGATCGTGGTGGTGATCTCCAACAGACCGGGGGTTCTGGGCCTGAAGAAGGCGTCGCTGGCTGGCATCCAGACACGGGTGAAAACAAACAATGAATAACCACGAGTTGCTGTTTCCACCTTAATGGGTTTGCAAAGGGATTAGATAAACTGAGGGATTAGGTGGAGTAAGGGGAACACAATAAATGATGTTGATGGAGTTTATGTCTGCCCTGACGTAGGTGGTGGACCACAAACTGTACGGGAGCCGGACCGAGTTTGACGGCACAATTGATCGTGTGCTGGAAGAATTTGGGGTGGAGCTGGTGTGTCTGGCAGGATTCATGAGGATCCTCACAGGGTCTTTTGTCAAGAAATGGAACGGTGCGGAGTAACAACATTGTTATGATGATGTGGTGGGTCATATGAAGGTCTCGCACATTTTCATACATGTCTTTCTTACAGGAAAGCTGCTGAACATCCATCCGTCCCTGCTCCCCTCATTTAAGGGCATGAATGCCCAGAAGCAGGCGCTGCAGGCGGGAGTGCGAGTGACTGGCTGCACGGTCCACTTTGTAGCAGTAAGTATGACCGACTACGGAAAGCTTCATACCAGAGTTTATCATTTCTCCCGAACTGAACACACTCCCGGCTGTGTGTTTAGGAGGAGGTGGACGCAGGCGCCATCATCGTGCAGGAGTCCGTGCCCGTGCTGGCCGGCGACACAGAGGAGAGTCTTTCGGACAGAATCCGGGAGGCCGAGCACCGAGCCTTCCCCGCCGCTCTAGAGCTGGTGGCCAGCGGCGCGGTCACGCTCCGAGAGGACGGACGCATCGTGTGGTCCAGTCCAGTTCCCACAGTTAAAAACCACACATCCAGTTCTCATCCACAACTACAGTCTGCTCAGGAAATACAAACCGTCTAGATAGTAATGGTTTAATGTTCTAACACCGCTAGCGGTACGTGAGGTCTACCAAGCAAACATAAAAACATTTCAACGTTGTGACAAAACGAAATTACATTGTTAATATCTTGCATAAAATAGGTCAGCATGAGGACGAGGACGGACGCATCGTGTGGGAGTCCAGTTCTCACAGTTAAAAACCACACGTCCAGTTCACTTTACATTACAAGTGTCTGTTCCTTGAACATCATGAGTGTTTGTGTCATTATTAAACCTGCCTGGGCTCATGTTGTCTGGCATTTGCTTTTATTTATTTTCATATAAACAAGTTGGTATGGCAGAGGTAGTCCTCGTCCTTGAATAAGAAAATCTTCTTGTCTGGTGACTTGCATTTGTCCTTGCTTGCAAAAAATGGCATGAACAATGTCCGACAAACATGAGTTCCTGTGATGTTTTCAGGCGATTTGGAAGTGACTGTTAGCTCCTATGGAAGCGCAGGACGGACAGCCTCTCATTTCCAGCTCTAGTCGACATGTGTGTCTCTCCCCTCAAGCCAAATTTGCCCAGAAAACCGATGATCTCGTCTGGTGGGAGAATAAAGATCAGTGAACGGGTCGGAAAGCTTCCCGCTGAGCAAACCATTGTAGGAACAATCCTAAACTCACCCGGCTCGTTCTCGGCAATGGTAACCAGGTAGAATAACCCGTTACTGGAGAGCAACTGAGGGACCGCCGGCAGAAACTTGTCCGTCACCTCTCGCCCTCGCTCCCCTCCGGCCCAAGCCGCCTCTATACCCGTGCTGCCCACCTGGAAGAAAAGCACGGTGATCGAGAGCTGCACACACTGAAGGCAACCTGCTGACCCACCTCTTCTGACGGCGTGACCACATAGGGAGGGTTGAAGAGAAGCACGTCCACCGTCCCACTTAAGCGGGGCAGGAGGCCCTCCACCTAGAGGAGAGGGAGGAGTCAGATCCCCGCACCGGAAACACGTGATTGGGAGCCTGCGTGACTCTCACCAAGGACGTGATGACGGGCTGCAGCGGAGCATCGTTGCAGGAAGCGGTCTTCGCTGTGCACTGCGCCGCCGCGGGGTTCACGTCGGTGCAGCTGCACGGGAGACGCGCACATTTATAAGGTGGTGCGATGACTCTTCTCGATGCATGCATTTGATGTCTTCGCGTGCGTAACTCACAGATAAAGCGCGCCAGGTCCGACTAAGGACGCCAGGAAAGCGGACACCACTCCCGAGCCGCTGCCCACCTCCAGACACACACACGGGCTGCAAACGGCCACATTTAAACATCGGGAAAACACAGGCGACGGACGTTGAAATGATGAGGTGACGGCGGTGGGAAAGCGTCTGACCCCATCTGCTGCAGCAGCTCTGCGTCTTTCTCCAGCGCGTCAATCAGGAGGAACGAGTCCTCCGCCGGCTCGTAAACATCGCGGAAGTCTCCCCGTCCGGCGTGGGAGTAAACCGGCGTCAACATTAGGCACGTGTCGCAGGTAGACACCGCTTCTGCTTGTGTTTTCTGTAAAAAGAAGAGAATCAACGGCGAGCTGAAGCGTGTTGGCTAAGCAGCACGTTCCACTTCCGTGTAGCTAATTCTACGTCACGATGACGTAAATGAACGCTTTCCTAAAGGGGACGTCAGTAGACTCGGGAAACTGACAACGTCCGCAGGACATGAACTTATTTCCACCCGTTCTATGATTTTCTTCAACGCGCCATTTGACCATTTAGACATAAATAGAAATATGTAAGGCAGAAAAAAGGGCTATAAATGCCAAAAGGTACAATACATACAGCTTAAAGCAATTAGTTCACTTCTTCATTCAAAAGATTCTTGCCAATGCCACCTAAACTCTGGGCATGTCCCCTTCTCTGTTTGCATAACCCCCAGGCTCAACTTGTCTGAAACAACCAGTGGGGACAAAGCCCCCACTACTACCTCCATGGTAGCGCACTCAAGACTTGGCAGTTGTGGGATTTGAACCCACTCGCACCTACAGAGGTTTTGGGCCCCTGCACCACTACGCCACCAGTCCTGCTCACACTTGATAAACTTTGTTTCTCCTATTTAACCGTGAGAAGGTGAATTGAACCTCAAAACTCTTTCAAACACTAAGACTCATTTCCACAAGTGGGCTTGAACCCACAACCTACAACGGAGGTTGGAGGCAGATGCTTTGCTTCTGCGCCACCTCATCTCACGTTGATCTGGATCTCATTTCTACTATTTAACCTTCAGCTTGCGAGTTAAACCTCAAGACTCTTTCAAACCGTTAGACTCATCCCCGTGACTGGGCTTAAACCCACAGCAGCAAGTCAGAGAGATTGAATCCAAAACTGCACTCATGTGCTCCATCTGAGAGAGAGGGGGTTTGAACCAAGGACCCTCCACACCTCAGTCTCGCAGCTGCTCCCCTGAGCTATTCCACCGCACACCGCATAATTCTGGTGATTGTGGAGTCATCAAGTCGAACCTCAATACTCTTCTTCAGATTCTAAAGTTGGAAGCCACTACCACTCCGTACTATTATAATAGTACTGCGGTTAAAATAAGGTCATAGTACTGATGCGTGAGATGATCAGTCCCGACTCCCCTGTGGAGCAAACCCGTCTGAGGATTCTCCGAGGTTCCTCCTCAGCAGAGTGGAGAACAAATCCCAGAAGAAATAAACACGTTTGACCTTCAGGGATCAGCTCACTCGGATGAGTAGCTGACTCTTAACACACGGCACCCGGAGGAGAAAGGATGGAATCCCAAGTGTGGCTCAGGAACGTCTGCTCTGATTCCACCTTGTCGGTTCCACAGAGCAAGTTTGGTAAAATCACCATAGCAACACAACAAAAAACTTTGGTGAACAACAAACCGAGCCGAGCTCTGACTGTCTCTCATCCTGTACATTTCTCTAGCGTTGTGCTCTTCGTAAGTTCTGTTTGTTTTGCCCGTAATAAACTTTCACTGCTTCAATTCATCAAATTTCTTATTATAAATAAGACATACACAGAAATGACAAGAGTTGAGATAATTATTTCCACTTGCATGATCTCATCGGATGATGCATTCCATGAAGCCTCGCAGCCATGTAGCCTCGCAGCAGGCGGTGTTAGTGTTTGATTGCATGATTATTCGATTCAATTAATACGACAGAAATCATTCAATTAGACACGTTATGATCAACGTCTCCTTCAGAAGATTCTTAAAGGTTTATTTCAGAGGTTTTATGCGTTACAGATCTGCGGTGCAAACAATTAGCTCAGTTAGCAGCCTGCTCACAGGACATGTGGTGTCCTTCAGGGTTTGTTTGTACACACAACAGCCTCAGAGAGCAATGAAGCTGTGTTGCAAAACACCACCAAAGAGACGGTGAAGGAGCCAAATAAACTGAAAACGGAAGACTTACTGAAACCACGTTCTGAAGTCTGGCTTTGGCAACGTAAAGTGAAATGATCCTGTTTAATATTTCAATTACTTTTTGGATTTGTTTGCAGAACATTAACTTACATGTGAGTACAGTATTCCTCCAGGTACTTGTCTGTTTACCTGTATCTAAAATAAGGCATAAACACACGACATTTTCAGATTTACATTTTGAATGATGGAGAATTAATGTACAGAATGACGGCGGCAGTGACAGGCAGTCCAGGGAATGCTTTTCAGCTAACAATTAACCAGTTACCACTGTCAAATATAAATATAGAAAAGACTCTTTTTGAGAGTTTGTCTTGATCCACCAGTTCAGTGGCGGGTTTCCAAAAGAAAGCCTCAGCAGTAAGATCTGAGCGTCCTCAAGGTCAGCTCATTTCTTCTTCTTCTCCTGCGTGCCGGTAAACCACTGGTCCAGCAGCTTCTTGCTGTAGTAGATCTGCCAGGCGTGCACCTGCACAGCGATGACGATGACCAGGTACATGACCGTCACGGCGGGGAAGCCGAAGATGAAGCGGTAGGCTTTCCCGTGTCGATACAGCTGCTGGGCCACGGGGAACATTTCCATGCTGCCGTAGACCAGCGGGGCCACGCAGAAGAGCCCGGCGCTGATCATGGAGATGACCAGGTAGCTGATTTTGTTGCGGGGCAACGCCAAGAAGCTGAAGACCAAGGGAATTATGCTCAGGAAGTAAGGATACTCCCACTGGTATGGAGAGGCCACGACCTTGTGCGACACGAGGCTCAGCTGGCTCACGGTCACCTGAGAAAAGATGAAGACACATTGACTTATACTGCGTTACAGCGGTTACAACGGTCACGTTGAAGGGGGGGGATGTTACCTGAGCGGCCATCAGCACCCAGATCAGCGCGTGGACAATGTTGAGTTTTCGGATTTCAGACTTCAGAGCAACGCTGCGCCAAAGGACACATACGTGTACATTCACACACAAGTCACAGATTCACGAGCTAACCAAAGTGATCCTTGCATTGATGACTAAACCTCAGGATCAAATCATAGCAGGGGAACTCATGTCGAGAGATTTGAGTTTTCTTTTGTAACCACTTGATATACGTCTGACACACTGATTAATTACTCCGCCTACCTCATCTGGTAGTGAGAAGCAACCCTCTCCCGGTGCTGAAAGTCACTGCCATCCGTACCGGCTGCTCTCGGGCCTGCTCGAGAAGCCATGGCGGTTGTCTGTAGGCAAGACACAACATCAAGGATGAAGTGGCTCAAAATTCCAAAAGATGTTTGTGGGTCAATTATACAAATATGAACAACGTGACTGAAGTGTGGATTGCACAACATGTCTTTGTTGTTCTAACTAATCCACAAAGAAATAAATCAATAATCTCGACTAAAATGTATAATTGTAATAGGGTAGATGAAATCAAGCATTCTGATTGGCTGAGAGTGTGTCACGGGGTGTACAGTTCTGAGCCATAAAGTACTGGACACCCGTTTACATTAACCTGAGCGTTTTGCGCCACCGTTAGTTGTCATTTCAGCTCGGTGTTGATCGCCGAAAAAGGAAGCTTTCGCCAAAGAGGACTATTCAGGTGAACGTCAGGACAAATCTGTTGCAGAACACGTACGTGGTTACTATGTTCTGCAGGCAACTGAAATGCAACACACAGCACAACTATTTTGTGCTGAAAGGCAGCTCACTATTTACATACTATTCATAATGTTGCTGGCAACCGTATTATAAAAGCAACCAGGTACCCGAGGCAGTACAGTATCGCCAATAATGTTACAGTTGAAGGGTGTTGTTAGGCCCCTCGCACCTTGTTGCTCAATGTCACAGCTGCAGCAATACTGACGTTCGCGTTGCTAAGCCACCAAGAGTAACGTTAATGTTTAACGGATGCCACCTTTGCCACGTCGTCTGAATAAACATGTCAGTCCAAATGTATCCAAAAAAAAATTAAATCCACTTGAGACGTCATCGTTAATGGTGGCAAATTGCTTTAACGTTACATTCTTTGTGGAATAAAGCATGTAAACAAATAAAGCAGCGGAGCGTAGAGGCTAATGCTAGGTAGCTGTTAGCTTGTCATCCAGGTGAGTATCAGCTAACGTTAGGTATCTTAGGAGGAACTAAGAGCCTACGTTAAGTTACCCGAACTGTCACGTACTGTTGGCAGAAATGTGAATGGTGAATCATAACACTTACTTTTTATTTTTCGTTGTTTATAAAGGGCATTATACCATAAAACGCTGAATGAATGAGAGAAACCAGCTAGCCGAGTGAGCCATTCACGGAAGACAGACCGGAAGTGTGACGTTTTAAACCGCGATTGGCCAGTTTCTCTCTCGCCGATTCTCGTTACTTGTCAAAGCTTTGATCGAGGCCACGGAGCGACGGATGAGCCCGTCTACCATGCGTCGTTCTATTGTTGAAATGGAATGTTATAAGAATCAAGTAAAAAACAAAACAATGGTTTTTGTATGAAACCAATAGTCAAATCAAAAAAATACAGTTCACATATTGCACAGTTTCCATTTATGCTGTGCATCATTGTCCCAAGTAAAGAATAACGCGTTACAACATTACAAGAATAAAGTAATAAAGTACAAAATAAAACACGGCATACGGTGGTATGATTGAGTATGAGCACATTTCTGGTATATTTTTGGATGTCCTGTATTTCAAAATTAATTCGGTCATTTGTTGTCAACAAAAAGAAATAAACATAATCCCAAGTAATTAGTAGTTAAACAAATACATTAAAAATAATACTGACAAACCCCTTTATGTATAATGTACGCACAGCTGCAACATTGCAGTACCTATTTGTGACCACACAGGGGCAGTGCTGCACTGTGTAACACTGATGGCCTCAGTGCAGGTGTGAGATTAGTGCATGTGTTAATGCGACATCCTCTCGACTCTCCCGAGCTGTGGTGCAGCTTGCTTGTATCACTCGGGGATGGAGATGCACACCGGCAGGCCCATTTCACCTGATCTGTTTTGAATGAAGACGATCAATCCACTAGCATGGTGAATCCCTGAGCCATGTTCCATCAAAAGGCCCTCTTAGATATTGCCTTTTTAACTTGCCGTACTTGAGCGTGAGTCCGTTTGACAGATAATGCAATGTCTGTAGCGTGTGTGTGCATCTCTCCGTGTGTACCTAAATTGTGTAAAGCTTGTTTCCTTGCAGGTACATAAAAACTGCCATAAGGTGAAATGGATAGTGTGAGTGCATGTAACCCTGTGACAGTGTCTGTGTGTGTGTGTATCCTGTAGGGATCACAGTGTCAGTGCAGCTTCATTAATCTCCCAGCATCGTGGGACTTGTCTGAACTCTAAAAGAGGGCTGGAGAGAACAAGCTGCCCCCCCCCCCCCCAGACACTCCGTTTACCCTCCACACTCATGTCACTCCTCATAGGGTTCTGAAAACCCAGAAGTGACGCTGCAGTATGTGTTGAGTTGCGTGTGCACATCTGCGTTCGTCCATACATGAACACACATGAACAGGGATAGAAGACAATTGATGCATATTAGACGCTGACACCTTTCCAGCAGTATTTTGGGTCATTCTGAATGTGCATGATTTCCTCAAGTAGCGAAAGGCAAATCAATGCCACCACAACTGTATGATAAATATTTATTTTACCTCAATAATGCATAGGAGAGCACATATGCTGATTGCATGACAAAACATACCCCCATAAATATCTTAAGACTAAAGATAAGATTCACGCTTTTTACTATAGTGACAGGGATTCAATCAGCATAATAACAGCACGACAATATTTGCCTTTTTAATAAAGGTGGGATGTCCCCCTGCTCAAAAGCAATGAAACGAAATACCTATAAGCTTAGAATATTATCAAATCTCTTGTTTGCCTTCCCTTTCTGAAGCGTTGAACTCTGCACCGCAGAAATGTTCCCAGCGGATTGACCTCCCAACAGAAAAGAGTTCTCTGTGCGAGAGACGAACAGGGAGGAGAACCGGCACCTGCGATTAAATGAGGTTGGGAGGACTTGCGTGCTGCTCAGATCGACCAGCTAGTCGCAGTGAAAAAGGCTCCTCCACCATTCGCTTTGTGCCTCGATGACAGCTCTGTTTAACGCCATTTGCATCAAAGCCGCACGCGGAGGCAGAGCTGAATGCTCGTAGTTGGTTTCCTTGCTAAGGAAAATTGTATCAAATGAAAATTTGACCTGAAACATTTTCGGCTGAGAGAGAAGAGTCAGGCCTCAGAGCTTTGGTTTCTGTGTAGCACACCAAAACATGCTGGCGCATATCATCTCATTATCTTGATGGCTGATTCAAAGAAGTCCAATGTGGCCATTCACTGTGCTGGAAGTACACGTCTGGGTCTCTGATCACAGCTCCTAGCGCTTCATGCCGCGGCTTCCATCTCAACCTCGTCGCCCCGCGGCTGCTTCCGCAGAGCTGGCACGAAAACACTGGTTGACCGCCTCCGGTTCATCGCTCCTCTAATGAGCGAGGTGTGAGATTTGAACCTTGTTTTGCATCCCTGGCTCCTGGCATCAGGGAAAAATACCACGACAACCAGCCCGTCGGTGTTAAACCACACATTTGGCAGATTAGGCAACTCGAATGAAAGAGGGTCAAATGCTTTGACCTTTGACCTTGTGACGGGAGGAGGCTTCTCCCCACTGCTGCCGGCTTAATCAGAAGTGTAGTAGTGATGTTACACAGACCTCTGCAATTGGGGAAAACGTCTCCCGTGGCGGAGCTGCTGAGCTGTGCTGGTTGCTGGAAGTCAACGGGCCCTCTCATCAAAAAACACCAAACTGCTAATCAACCGTGTTCAATGTTTTCGTTTGCACAGCAAAAGAGGTTAAAAAATGTGGGCTGCGCTGAACCGGGACGACATTCATTCGTCCTACATGCTGAGGACGTTTGCATGAGTTTTTGTCCCCGGTTTAGCTTTTTGTGGTGCAGGGCGTTCAATACGCAGTCACGCAGAGCTCTGGGTCCCGCGGGATGTGAAAGAGCAGCACTCTGATTGCTGAAGTCACGAGAAGTGCGAGAGAAAAGTGGGCCTTCGGAGAAATGTAGCTCTTCCGTATGAGCTCCCGGATTTTTGACTCATTCTCGTTCCCGGATCCTGCAGAGTCGTGTTGGTCAGGAGGTGGAGAGGGAGGAGCTTGGTGAAGGTTTTTCAATCTGGAACAAAACGGTGGAGCGACCCACAGTGCCCCGCTATCTACCTCAGCCTGAATAGATTACTGAAGATACATTCATAGCACTGCATAAAGCTCTGCAGAGATCATCCTCATCTGCGGTCCCCCGGTAGGGGCCCCTAGTGGATTCTGGGAAACCCTTACAGGCTACTCACAGAATCAAAGCCGCTGCTGGTTCTTTCCTTGACCTTCATCATCAAGTAACTACAATGGCCTGATCCCTCAGCCAAGAGAATGATACTAATAGCGCTGATGGCGCGGGAGTGGGGAGAAAGGGGGGAGGAGCCTGTTCAATCTGCTTTGTAAGGCGTGTAGACTGCATGTATGCGACTTCCCATCTGCCACGGCGGATGGTAGACGGGCTCATCCGTTGCTCCGTGGCCCCGCTTCTACGAGTCTCTCTTCTCTCGCGTCTGTATGATCCTCTTTTGTGCGACGGGTTCATACTCTCTGCTTTTTAATTGAGATAATTAGGCTTAGACGTCTCGCTTGGCGTTCCTCTCCTACAGAAGATGGTGGAATACCTGAATGACACTCCCATCGTTGGAAGGGCGATCATATGATAATATGGAAGGTTGACATTTTTACGACAGGGTGAAGGTTGAAGACAATGAGGTGGGGGGTTTATTGTCCATGACGCTTTAGGATGTCCAGATTTAAAGATGACCTTGACTCATCAGAACTGAGGGTTGTTTTGAGGAACACAGAAAGTAAACGGTTCCACCCTCCATTATCAGGCTGAGATAGTTTGTATTACTTTTTCACTGCCGGATTTGATAACACTAATGTACTGGTTATCTATTCAATATAGCTTCGGCCCAGCAGATCATGCAAGCAGAGCTTCAAAATGTAAATGTGAATGCACCAATCACCCGTCTCCTGCCCCCTTTCCTTGTCCTCTTCTCCTCGATCGAAGCCCAAAACCGTCTTCTCCCGGCTTCTTGTCCCAAGACAAAGATATAAAACGCACTGAATGGAAAGACTCAACATAGACATTTTTTTTTTTTGCAGTGCAGCATTGCCGAACTGCTTAGCAGCAGCAGTAACCGTTAACAGGATTAGGCATGGCTTACATAAACATCTCCCATGGCAACCAGGCGGAGGCAGGGAGCGGAGCCCTCGACGGGAAGCAACCATCGGTTCGTTGAGCCGACCGTCCGTCGTCTGTCAGGATGTTTGCGGCCATGTGCTTCCCGTGCACGCCTGTGTTCATCTCAGCTACTTTGAGCATGGCGGTCCCCAAGGGTCAAAAGCAATCCTACAAATTGAACTCTGCGCATTTGATATATTTTGTCAAATGCAAAGTGTTGCCTTTTCAACTCCAATCCTCCTTGTGCGTTTCGGTGGCATCTGCACAGCGTGTGTGAGTCTTTGTCTGCGTCTTGCCAGTGTTGTGACACATTGACAGCGAGGCCTGAAGTTGTGTCCCGTTGGATATACTAGGCCTTTGGAACGGTTCATTTCCCATAATTCCCCGAGGGGAGGCACATTGCTCACTGCCTCTCGTGGCTTTGGCTCTGAAGGAGAGTAGAGGTCTCTCGCTGTTTTCCTCCGCTGATTCTTTTATTTTCCCTTCTCATGTGGCCGCCATGGTTCTTTGCTAAATGTATAACCTGCGTTGCAGTCCAACCGGCTCCTCACACACCTGTTCGCGCCTGTTGTTTTGTCTTTTCACGCCGGCCAGAGGAAGGCGTTTGCAGACCTAAACGTTGCCTTGAAGGAGAAATGGCGCTTTGCCGCATCTGACAAAATGGACATTAAACATCTTTTCTCCTTCAGGGTCCCTCTTTCCTTGCAATCGTCTCACTTCATCCACATCCAGTCTCTGCTGTTTATTCCCGCCCTTTCCCATTTGTCTCTCTCCTCCGTCTCTCTGCAGCAGAGCAGAGCATCAGCAGAGCTAATGAGCTTTATGAGGAAGTAGGAAGCGTTTCGCCGTGGCTCCTTTTTTTTTACGTCCATTTCTCGAATGATCTTATTTGCCGACTCCGGTGTCACTATGTGAATTTAATGTTCGTTATTTTAACAGGTCGTATCCGGTTTGTCCTCTCACGTCTTACAATGTTTAGCTCTTTGTCATTCAAGGCCACAGTGAACTTGCTGTCGGAACTCATTCAGTGTCTTTGTGTCCAGACAAAGGACACATTTGAGGAAAA